ACCACATAAACATGAGCTCTTGGTTTTCCCTCTGGGTCTTCGGATTGTGTCACCACCAAGCCCTGGGACAACGGTTCCACGTGGCACCAACGGTTATAAGAACTCGTACTTTAACTGTATATAGGACTGTAGGCTGCTGAGTTTGTATCCACCACAAGAAGACAGTGTGTCTAAAGCACCCACAGGCTGTAGTTAAGTTTTGGGGCTGGTTCCTTCCTGGCCCTTTCCCAGGCTCTTCCTCAGCACCCGTTGGCTCCTCACAAAAACGAGACCTCACGGCTTGGCTGCCTGGTAACCCCTGTTGTCCTGGGACATCGCGGGGGAGCCGCAGGCTAGGTGCTACCTGCTGAACATCCCGGGAGCAAATTTAACATCCTGTTAAAATTCCCAAGCAGAAACCAGACCCAGAGAACCAGGTACTCAACGCACTCACAGGTTTACAGCCCGAGGGGAGCATCCAGGCCAAACTGCACGTTGGGAGCTGTGGAATATCACACCTGCACTGATCCCAGGAGCAGGAGAGCTGGAGGTCTCTGCTTCCTCAGGGGCACAGGCACTACGCCTGTGAAAAACAGCTTCTTATTCCTAACATTAAATTGTCTGGCATCTACCAAAACCTTCCAACTCTGCCTCCTCTTTTAATGAGTAAAGAAATTGCATTGAGTGGAAAACTGACTTTACGTCACCCAGATGTTTCTCAAACAGCAATCAGGTCTGTGAGATTCCAAATTCTGCTACTGTTCAGCAAAAGGATACGTATATACTTTTCATACATTTAAAAGTGTTGACTGCAACCGGCACTCCTCAGATTCTACACTGGAGGACTAATCTCCAGTTCAGTCTCAGCGCAGAAGCTCACACATCTGCTATCACATCCGTGTGTGACTGTAGGCTCTGTGTGATCAGGTTTGTTTTTGACAGAATGATTTTTCATATGCTCTCGAAATTGACATGGGCATTGACAATAGTAAAGTGTCTACAAATAACATATACAAAACAACATAATGAAGCAGGGGCAAAGGAGAGGTTTTTCTGAAGAAAAGAAATTTTAAAAATCACTGTTAAGCAACATCCAGGCTAATTCTGACTTGGTGGAGCTAGAAGAATCTTGTAATTCCTGATTTAGGAGCTAAATTAGGTCTGCCAGCTTCACCTTCACGTTCCATTTCACCAGGCATGTTTTGTTGTTGTTATTGCTTTAAGAGTAACAGTATGGAACCCTGTTCCCCCAAATGCTGCTGAAGTATTGTACTGCTAAAATAAGCCACATAGAAAATGTCAGGTCAAGGGGTACGTCTTCCTGTATGCCAGCATCAGTGAGCAGCATATATTTATCATTAAAAGTAACACTATAGGAAGTTTCCACTGTGCAGATGACTACCTTTGGTTTCTGAGGCACTAAACAACTCTGGAGATGTTATCTAGGGTGTCTCCTTTAATAATTCGTCACCAACTGCTCTCAGTTTGATGGCAGTAGCATCACTTTTTCCATTTTTGAGTTTCATTTCACTGCTTTTTAGTGGGAAGTACATACAACTCTGCAGTATTTTTCACATCCTCTTTACTGAGAGCAATAGAAAAGAAACCTCTTTCCTTCTGTCTCTGCTGGTACATTCCGTGCATGAGCTGCCTCTTGGGGACACGCTATTTGTTTGGGTTGGGGTTTTTTTTTTGCCATCGCAATTTTCTCCCCATCTCTGAAGTGGGATTTGTTAAGTGCTTATCTTGCTACTTGTTTGGGTTGGGGTTTTTTTTTTGTCATCGCAATTTTCTCCCCATCTCTGAAGTGGGATTTGTTAAGTGCTTATCTCAGGCAGTGATTAGTATTGCTTTACACTGTGGTGCAGTGGAACCCCAGTACAGCAACCCAACTGGCAACTTTTACACACTGAGAACTGCATGTCCAATAGGTGCCACAGTAGTGACAATATATATGGCCCTACAGCAGCCAGAGACACAAACCCCTGTGTTTGTACCCACAGGGCTGGAGGAGGCCGCCGCGGGGCCCACCTGCCTCCCCCGCCCCGCCTCAGCGCCACAGCAGCCGTGCCAGACAAGAAACCTGAGGCCCCATCGCTCCCTCCTCACCTCGTCATGCGGGGCGTGGGGGGCTCCCGCCCTCCGAAAGGCGGCGACAGAGCTGTCGCCATGGCGGAGAACGGGGAAGGCGGGAATCTGAAGCGTAACCCCCTATCATGGCGGCCGGCCGCCGCCTCAACGAGGGTCCCGCGCGGTGCTTGCCGGGAGATGTAGTCCGAGGCGGGGCGAGGCGGGGCGGGGCGGGCGCTCGCCCCCACGTGACAGTGGCGGCGGCGG